CAGCACCAGCTCTGGCGGTGATAACAGGGCTAAAGACGAGCCCCGATATAAGGGTGTGATTCGCGGTATGGACTCAATCGCCGGCCACCACTCCGATGATAATTGGGAGCCGGAGGGCAGCGGTTCCAGAGCTAAGCGACCGAAGGCTAGTACTCGTGGGACGAGAAGCAGAGGCAGAGGCAGAGGTCGCGGTGGGGCTAAGAAAAAGGCTTCCGATGAGCGCAAAGAGGCCCCAAATCCTGAGAATCTGTGGCAAAACGACGGCAAAGTGTTGGGCGGAGAGACACAGCAAGTGATCACCGGTGAGATGACGCCCGCCGAGCGCCGGGAGTACATGGCGTTGATGGCTGAGCAACGGTTGGGACAGTTGGGCAGTCGTGGCGCTCACGGAGTGGTGAGACTTCCGGCCAGTCGTCTGGATGGCGGCGACAGTGGACCCACTGATCCGAACCCACTTCGATGGCAGATATGAGACACCGATTGACACTAATTGGCGGACCAATTGATTCGCACTTACCATTAGATGGACACTCATTATCACCCGATTGTGATCACCAAATACTGTGTACAAAATGACATTAATGTGTAGTTTTTTGACTAAACAAGGTTAATCTAAATTATTCATTCTCACTGACAAAGTATAAGTGAATTTGTTATCTATTTTTAATAATTCAGAATTTCAGAAAACTATTCATACTTTAAATGTTAAATTATATGACTATTTATGTGATAAAAAGTTTAATTTATAAATATTAATTAATTGATTATCTGTATAATAAATACTTTATTCCTAAAATATCCAACTATCTACTGTACCCTAATACTACACTATTATCCCTTATGATTTATAAATCTAAATACCGGTATTTTTCACATTTAATTGTACGTTATAGAGATTAATACAGCAAATGAGAGTAATATATCGATATTTGAAAATAGTTTTATTAATTCAATTACTACTAAACACTATTGATTTAATACTGATTTTTTTGTAATACATATAAAAAGATTTGTTTACGAAATGTATGTTTTTTATATAATTTATAACAATAAATACACTCTTAAAACTTGGAGATTCATGTGTGTGTGTCCATACAAAATAGATAAATTCGGTATTCAATTGTATCTTTTTCTCATTACAAAAAACATTTCTCAACAATAATAAGTTATTTGTTTCGTTGATTCTGAATACTAACTATCCTTTATATATTCTGTAAACAAAAGTAATTATAAACACCTTTTTATAAAGCAAACCTTTCTTTTTATATACATCAAAACTCTGTGTTTTCTTAAACAAAACAAAATTCTTTAAAGTCCAAAATAATTATTATAACACAACTTCCCACACATACACGTTAGGAATTGTATATCCAAACCAATTCATTAGCTAATTAAATATAAATTACAAAATATGGTTACAGAATATTCCATATAAGTTACAATATATTAAGAATATTCTGTATACATCTCAACACATTTTCATCTATAAGTCAGTCTCAGGACACTCTAACTTCGGCCATAACAGGCTCTTAAAGAATGGCTGCGATTTGATCTCATTGTAGGCATTCCTCTTGAATCCTAGTCTGTGCTCTGGTGTCTAAATTAGTTGATAATAACAAACAAATTAATAAAATGTCAAACATTTGGCGGACTTTACAAATACTTACGGCAACTAAAAGCTCTTTTAACAGATTCTGAGCGCCGATCGACTCGACATTAGTTAACATTTTCGGTATACTTTCGATAACTGAATACAAATTATAACAGAATTTATAAATAAATTAAAAACTTTCGCATATAATGTCAAGAATTTATAACAAACCTCGTAATAAAAATTCCGTATCGATGTCACAGTCATCCGTTATATGTCTTTTATCACAAAATATATCGAGGGGTGTATTTCCCATCAGCATCTCCACGAGTATGACACCACAAGAATTTATAACAAACCTCGTAATAAAAATTCCGTATCGATGTCACAGTCATCCGTTATATGTCTTTTATCACAAAATATATCGAGGGGTGTATTTCCCATCAGCATCTCCACGAGTATGACACCAAACGCCCACCAGTCGGCCTCCTTTCCGTACTCCTTGCCCTATAAATGTCACACAAAACTGTCACTAATAGTCGACATATAAGTCACAAATAAGCCACAAATGCTTAGCAATGAAATAAATTATTCAGAGAATAATTTCTAAAATTCTTGAATGTGTCAGAATTGAACTAATTTTGCAAACACTTATTATAACCATCATTACAAATACCGATTATTCACATAACTATAAATAAGTTAATATTTAAGTGATATATTCATGTATAATATCACTAACACTATAAATAACACAATCACTTGACAGGTACCTGAATAATCTCCGGGGCCAAATAACTGCAATCGCCAAACGGGTGGCAACTGAACTCGCACAGTTTGGCCGACTCGAAGTCGCATAACCTCAAGCGACCACTTTTCTCAACGAGCATACAGTCGGGCGACAGACTCCTATGGAGCACACCATTCGCGTGCAAGTGATTCAACACGATAACCAACTGTCCGCTCAGGTATTTGGCCACATCGGGCGGCAGTGGCGCCGACTTCATGACAACGCCGAGACTCACGGCGTCTTTGATGTGTTCGCTGACGAAACAATAGGCGGCCTCCGTCTCGAAGAAGCCCTTGAGGGGAACGGTGTACGGGTGGGCCGACACCTTTTGCCAGGCCAGCCGCTCGTTCATCACCCGTTTCCATCCCGACGCCGTTTTCCTCATCTCGGCCTTCCATACGATTTTCATGACCCCCTCCTCGCCGGTCTTCATGTGCTGAATGATGTAACAGTTGGACCATTTGGAGCCGTAGTCGGCGCCCAACACGCCCTCGATTTTGGTCTGTTGGGCCGACCATATGCTGTACGACAGGTCCATCTGAATGGTGCCCACGCTCTCGCTGGTGGCCTACATATCGTGTGTGAGACACAGTTTTTTTGCGGTTAGATTTTTGTTATTTTTAAGACACATATCAATTCTGTCGTAAAATGTGTGCAAAAATAAAGTTTTCGTTTTAATATGTTTTAGTCTAAGAATATATATAATGAGTGAGAGAATGAGTGTCTCAGAGAGAGAGAGAGAGAGAGAGAGAGAGAGAGCTATGTTAAGGTAGACCTAATAGAGAGAGCGTATGGATGTCTTCAATAGGAACGGTATGTGTACAGTGCTCTACAAACTCACATAAATTGTGTGTCAATTCTTATTTCAAGAATAATATTCTTAACACTCGAAAAGTGAATAATGATTTGCGAAGTGAATGCTATAAATGAGTTTCAGAGTCACTGGGAATCCAGGGAACACACGGAATATTCTATGTAACGAATTAATGAGGAATTCCTACCATTTTTTCCCAATCGATTCCCGCGAAGAATGGATGCTCTTTAATGGTCTTAATTCCGGTCTCTTTACACCATTTGAGGCGTTTGTTGGGGTCCTATAGATAGCGACAGAAAAATTATGTCACTTTCAAAAGTTGCAACAAATGCTTAAGTAGTCATAAAAAAAGTTATAATAATTTATCATTCGCTGAAATAGTAATAAATAATAATGAATAATACTTTTTCGAGAAACGCCGACAATATATTAAAAGCATTGGTGGATAAGTGTGCCGGGTAGTCTATCGGCGATCTAATAATGTCTATAAATGGAAATGGAGACCAAACATAGTTGTTAAACACAAACACAATTAGATTACGAGTAATAATTTATATGTATTTTTAGCCCTAAATGTATGACTAAAAGGGAGGAAACTCATAATATAACGACATTTCCTACCATTAATTGCTTCCTTGCAGTTGTCTTTAGAAATGTCTTTAATTAATGAGTCGATGGAGTCGTGTTGCGAAAGTAATGCCTTCCCAGTGAGCATCTGATAGAGACAACAGCCCAGTGACCACCAGTCCGATGAGGGCTCTGAACAGATATATTAATATATCGATGCGATTATTGTGCGCCAAAAAAAGTTCACTTAATTTTGTTAATTGTTTTGTTGAGTGCTTTGTTTATTTATGTTATGTCTTAAAAGTTTTTTTTTCGTGTTTGACAATAGACTTGTAGGAAACTGTGTGCATATAATTACCATAAGTCTCCCCTTTCAGTATCTCTGGCGCTATAAATGGATACTTAAGTCGTTTGATGACATCCAACTCAAACGCGCAGCCCTTTTGCTGTAGAGTTTCAATGGGAAAAGAAATGGGTATTTAAGTAAAGTATTAAGAAAATTATTATGAAAAGTATTTTTATATTTTTGCACAGATTTTGTAGTCAACTCATTGTTTTTCTAATGTCTTATTTGAGGCTAAAAAGACTAAACTGATATTAAAGGCTAAACTGATTGCTACCTAAATATCGCTGTCAATCAAACCACTAATCCCCAGACATTTAGACCGACACTATTAAAAGACTTTGTAATCTAAATAATAATACAAACTCTGAGAATACGGAATACATATAAAAATAGAAACAAGAATTTGAATGAAACAAAAAACTACATATAATTGGGACTCATATTCCGTGAACTAAATGGTGCCATAAGTCTGAATACAAAAAACTTTTTTATGGCTAACAAGATGCCATATTTTTATTATGAAAATTAATATGAAATTAATTATTAAATAATTTATTGCCTTTTCGCAAAAATGTAATTCAAATAAATTTGTCTCGATTTTCAATGTCAGACAACTTTTTTCTGGCAAACAGTTTACTAGTATATCAAGAATATATCCACTAGTCGTATGGGGAACGGGATGACAAGTTTATGAAATAGCTATATATGGGGCGGAGGCTCATACAGACCTTGCATGTGCTCAAGTCGGTGATACGGCACCGGCCCCTCCAATCCAGTGATATGAGGTCCGGATTGAGGCACCGGTGGACTAAGCCGTTGTCGTGCAGATGGTTGATCGCCAGCACCAGTTGCGCGCCAATCGTACAAACGTCGCTCTCCTGGAGTGGCCCGGTATCTGATATCAACGTTTTCAGCGAAATGCATGGAATGTCATCCCCTATAATGTATGACCTGACCATTTGATGAATGCGGGACATGGATGTGAGTGAATATTAACGAGAGATTAGTGTATATGCGAGAGAGAGAGAGAGAGAGAGAGAGAGAGATAATGAGCTGAATATTATGGTTAAAAACTAGTATAACAGATGAGATTCTTGTTTAAAAAATTACTTTATAAGACGAGTCAAAAAACTAGTCAAACAAACACTTGGAGGAAGTTTTTTGCGCTAAAAATGCATTACGAATATGAGAGGGAGGGAGAGAGAGAGATAAAAAGTTTATATAAACTAAACTAACAACAAAAAAGGAAAACCTTTTACATACAGGGCTTCCCTTTTTTGTCTCGCTATAATTGGCAGAGTTTTGCAGTTTTGAAAAACATTTTTATATTTATTATGAAAAAGTGTTTTTCGTTAAAAAATATATAAATATATTGTATTATTAGACACTAAAACAGTGGTGAGACTTATGAGAGACACTAACCTGTTCTCGAGTTCAACGCTTCCATAGATGTTTGGGTGAAAGTCTGGATGCATTGACACCACGCGATGCCAACAGCACTGGTGGTACTTCTGGTGATAATTAAACTTTTGGCTCAAAATCGCCGACTTCTTCAGCGATGAAATGGAAATACGCGAAAAATATCGATTAAATTCAATATACTTTTAGCACTAATTTATAGTGAATTTATTGAGTGTTTAAAACACTTTTATTTATATATAAAATAATATATTTTACGACACTTTTTCCCAAACACAGGAAAATGTATTTAAAAACAAGTGTTAATTATATGAGAGAATATTCGCGACTGAATTGAAACTTTAAAGTCAGTTGAAATCAGTATGAAATACACGGCTGACAGCCAGTGAACGCAGAAATATAGTAAAATAAAAACTTTATTTTCAATTTTTCGATACAAACACCATATGAATGTTCCACTAAAAAAACTATTCAAGGAAAAACTTTTTTGCAATACAACAAATTGTTCACTCGTAACTATTACAATTGGCGGACTAATTACTCGTATGTTATATAAAAAACTATTTATGAACAATTTATATTCAATTGAAAAATATTAACACCGATTAATACACGACTTATTCGTATGAATGACTGAATTCAATATAATTTCATACAAAACTAGGAGCGAGAATATATATATATATATACTGTACTTATAAAACACTGTTGAATGTGTTTTAATAGCAAGTTTTCTGGTGTGATATATAATCTGACTTCTCGTTTGTCAGCTCCACATCTCATATCCATTTGCAATGTATTTCAGAGTAACATATCTATTATATACTGAATATACTATATATTCTGTGCGAGAATAGTGTGCCTTTTAGTGAGGCAGACAGATATTAACACAGACTCACTGGCGACTATGCTCTCTCTCTCTCTCTCTCTCTCTCTGCCTACCACTTGAAACCCCGCTTTTACGAGCTATCCCTCTAATACCGGTGCAAAAAATATGTGGAGGAAGAACATATATATGACTGATATTAATGTCTTAAGCTAATATTCTTGTTTCTATAACCATTTATTATAATAAATGCACAAAATTACACGGAATATTCTCAACAGAATAATTATCGCTGATATTTAAGAATAATTTTTTTCTAGCATAATAATTTACATTAAATTTAATTATGTTTGTATGATAGTAAATATTTTTTTATATCAAACAACTACAGTCAGTGTAAACCGGTGATCAAGGTTTGGCGCGATATCGGGGGAAGTGTGTTCACATTTCAATTATATATTTAATTTTATTTGATATCTGACCAAGGTTTATATACTGGAATCGGGCCAAAAACCCTGGGAATGGGTATCAAATAAATCTTCTACTGTTTGACAGATTTCTTATATTATAAGAAAGTTTTTCGTGCCATTGATTGCCATTTTTCGGGTTATAATATATGGCATTCAAAACAATCGGGGAATTGGAGTGTAATTTACTTTTTACATTACAGGCAGTGAGAGATATATTGAAATGTGTTTATCAATCAAAATTGAGTCGTAAGCAAATAGGGTTTGTAACTAAAAAAGCACATCCCAATGACATATAAATGCTATTTCCAGTGATTGAATAAACACAGTAAGTATGAGGTATTCCCTAGTTTTTGTGAGCAGTTTATCCAAAGTAATCTCAAAATACTGTGTTATCTATGAATAGTGAGCATCATTAGAGAGATTGCATATAAAGATACTAACGATTGCCACCGAAAAGCAATCCAATAAGTAATTAAATACTATGTTTTTTATCATCATATAAAATCACTTAAACACCCGTCAAATACAGTGTATTAGGAGTTTTAAAGTGCCTGAAAAACACATAATAAATATTTTTGTTGACAACAATAATAGGATATATTTATTATAACCATTTGAAAAACAACATAATTTCAAAGCGCTTCCAGTGAAAAGTCTAGAAAAACATTAGAAAAATATTTATTTATTTCACAAAACAATTTCAATTGAAAATTATGTTTATTATATTGAATTCACACAAGAATTGGTCGCTACTCGTGACGCCTATTAACTATACCACTGAAGGCTATGTGTTATGTATTTGTTATATGTATTCAATGCATAAATTTGATGTAAATCTTCGCATCTCTTATGTAATTATTTATGCATTCAAATGGCTTTTAACTGTTTATCTCATCGCGAAAGGTTTGAAGTAAAGATTTTGTAACAAAAATTGCTTAATAACTGAAAAGACTTCGTAAACATTTTAATCAATAGTAATGTTATTAAAAACTTAAGCCGTTTTTTGAATGTATAGCAAAAATCTCTGATTCAGTTTATTCAACATGTGATCAGGAATTGAGTTACGGTTTTATGTTTAAAATTCTAGGAAATATTTTTTCCCTTTGATAACAGATTTAAAGCAAAACTTGATTTTTAAAACAATTTTTAAAATACAATTTTATAATTAGTTTAACGTTTTTTTTGAAATTTAATTAAATTTATTATGTAATTAGATTCCGTGTGAGTGTATTGCATACCCATTAGATGCTAATATACTCATTATTTTTGTGTAACATAATAAATAATATATTAATTTTTTTTTGTTTTTTATTATAATAATAATAGATTTAACAGAATCACATGAACTACATATGATTTGCGATCAGTTAGCGACACAATGAACCGGATGATAATTGGATAATGATGCTGAGCCTACTATGTACTCTAACCCCTACCCATTGGAGTATCGTTTTCAAGGATTATTTTACAATAAAATATAATTTTGCACACAATTTCTCAAACATAACTATCAATTTTACGGAAAATTTTCTTATTCATGTCTATTGATACAACAATTGAGAGCATGTTTATCATAAATAATTAAACATGTCTAGCTGAAACTCATATAATATATGGCTAACGGATATGAATCAACCAAATGTNAATAATTAAACATGTCTAGCTGAAACTCATATAATATATGGCTAACGGATATGAATCAACCAAATGTTTTTCAAAACCGAGAAAAATTATTTCATAAAAATCGTTTAAATACAATGAATTTCATTTTGATAGGTATGGGGTGTAATAGGAACTGTATTCATGAAACAGTTGTGGGAAACGGTTATACAGTATTATACGCGTATGTAACGAGTGTTTTATATTTAGTCTCATAAAAAACCTGTATAATAATAATTATAGAAATAACTGTAATAATAGTAATCATACACATGCACAGAATATACCTATAATATAACATATAGTTATATAAAATATTGACTAAAATGTACAGGTATATGCACCAGGGGATATATTCTCTAACACTTTACTGCACTTTACTAGTGCATACATGCGATGACAAGTAAATATGATTTATATGAATATTATTACTATACAAAAATGTATTCTGATTAATTCCCATATGAGAGCGAAAATTTTTAATATATTACATCCAGTGATGCCTTTCAAAAAATGTTCATAAAAATCATTTTCATGCATAAATTGATGAGTGGGCGACTATAATACTAGTATATATATACATGTATACGACTGTGACATTGATTTTGAATAATTTGTAAAATATGTTTAATGTCAGAGAAAAATTAATATTTTAAAAAAACGCATAAAATAATATTTTTCTGGCCGAAAGACTACATGTTTTATATCAGTCTCGGCGCCGACACACTCTCTTGACGTAAACACTCATACAATACTAAATAAAATACAATTGTTTCCATACATATAAAAAACAATTTCTCGGAAATCAGTGAAACAATAACTGAATTTTTATTAGTACTGTATTTATATTTACCACCGATAAAAAACAACTGGGTGGTAATAGTATTAATAAAATCTAAGCTAGCGTAAGCAATTGATGGTGGCTGAGTGCTCAATGGGAAAACATGTTGATTCAATACACCGGTACAGTGAGAGTCAATCAATTTAGTCGCTGTCTATATGTCTGAAAGGGGTTTACATACTCTGTCTCTCTGTGTTGGGAATTATGACGACAAGCCTATCGACTGCCAGACGTCACAGAATATTCTGATGTCAGCACACGATTCGGTCAAATACTAGTTGATTGAATCAAACGCTGTACTGACGATCGCGTAGCAAATCTATTGCTTCCTATTGTGTATGCCTTATATAAATATATAACATTTTTTGGTTGTTGTCAGAATCAATGTTTTATGTCTTTAGTTAATAAATTGCTTTTTATTACTGTATTTTTTATATAACTATGTATTTTAGTTTTATTGAATTGTTACTAATTTTAATTCCACTGCCATATTATTTTTATATATATAACTGCACTTATTCGTGTACGTAATACACATTTAACTGAATATTCTGTACAATAATAAAAACTATGTCAATGGAAATGATAAAAATAAAAAACTCATTTTCATTACATTTTCAGTCAATAGTAATTAGAAGTATTTTATTTTATAAGAAATGCTATTTTCATTCATTAACTTATATGCGAGAAGTTTTATATATTATTTTCGGTCTCTAATTAAATAATTATCTTAAATTCATTATGATGATATTACAGCATGCACATTGCTTATATAGTACAGAATAATTAATACTAATTCCCAGTAACGTCTAAATTCATAAATTAAACAGTTAATGGATATAAACATTATATGATATTAAGCAGAATATTCCGTGTGTTTGATAATTACGAGAATAATTTTCTAAATAAAACAAAAA